AAATGGGAAATTGCTGAGCTATTATCTGTGGTTTGTAACCTATCCTTTAAATCATCTTCCGTACCTAATGACTGGAAGGTAGCCAACGTGACACCAATATTTAAAAAGGGCTCTAGAGGCGATCCTGGCAATTACAGACTGGTAAGTCTAACTTCAGTACCGGGCAAATTAGTCGAAGCAATAGTAAAGAATAAAATTGTGAAGCATGTAAAAGAACATTATTTGTTGGACAAAAGTCAACATGGTTTCTGTAAAGGGAAATCATGTCTTACTAATCTATAATTAGGCTATGTCTACACTGGCGGCTTTTTGTGCAAGAATATCTTGCGCAAGGGTTTTTGTGCAAGAAGTCCTGCACAAGAAAATGTCCACGCTGCCATGTGCGAGCTGTGCTTTTGCGCAAGAGCACCCATGACAGTGTGGATGCTCTCTTGCGCAAGAAAGCTCTGACAGCTAGTTTAGTTAGAGGGCTTTCTTGTGCAAGAAATCCCTGCCAAGCATCCACACTGCCCTCTTATGCAAGAGCTCTTGCACAAGAGGGCTTACACCTGTTAAAAAAGAGCGTACGCCGTATTGTAAATTTCCTTGCACAAGTGTGGGTGGGCAATGTGGATGCTCTGCGGAATCTTGTGCAAGAATGGCCATACTTGCGCAAGAAGCCAGGAGTGTAGACATATCCTTAAATTTCTTTGAAGGGGTTAACAAACATGCAGACAAGGCGGATCCAGTAGATATAGTATACTTAGATTTTCAGAAAGCATTTGACAAGGTCCTCACCAAAGGCTCTTGTGTAAATTACATTGTCATGGGATAAGAGGAAAGTCCTTTCATTGATTGAGAACTGGTTAAAATACAGGAAACAAAGGGTAGGAATAAATGGTAAATTTTCAGAATGGAGGAGGTAACTAGTGGTGTTCCCCAAGAGTCAGTCCTGGGACCAATCCTGTTCAACTTATTCATAAATGATCTGGAGAAAGGGGAAAGCAGTGAGGTGATAAAGTTTGTGGATGATACTAAACTGTTTAAGGTAGTCAAGACAGAAGCAGACTGTGAAGAACTTCATCTCACCAAACTGAGTGATTGGGCAACAAAATGGCAAATGAAATTTAATGTGGATAAGTGTAAAGTAATGCACATCGGGAAAAATAACCCCAACTATACGTACAATATGATGGGGGCTAATTTGGCTACGACAAATCAGGAAAGAGATCTTGGAGTTATCGTGGACAGTTCTCTGAAAACTTCCACACAGTGTGCAGTGGTGGTCAAAAAGGCAAATAGGATGCTAGGAATTATTAGGAAAGGGATAGAAAATAAGACCCAGAATATCTTACTGCCCCTGTATAAAACTATGGTACGCCCACATCTTGAATACTGTGTACAGATGTGGTCTCCTCACCTCAAAAAAGATATTTTGGCCTTGGAAAGGGTTCAGAAAAGGGCAACTAAAATGATTCGGGGTTTGGAACGGGTCCCATATGAGGAGAGGTTAAAGCGACTGGGACTTTTCAGTTTAGAAAAGAGGAGACTGAGGGGGGATATGATAGAGGTATATAAAATCATGAGTGGTGTGGAGAGGGTGAATAAAGAAAAGTTATTTATTAGTTCCCATAATAGAAGAACTAGAGGACACTAAATGAAATTAATAGGTAGCGGGTTTAAAACTAATAAAATAAAGTTTTTCTTTACACAGCGCATAGTCAACTTGTGGAACTCCTTGCCAGAGGAGGCTATGAAGGTTAGGACTATAACAGAGTTTAAAGAGAAGCTAGATAATTTCATGGAGGTTAGGTCCATAAAAGGCTATTAGCCAGGGGGTAGAATTGATGTCCCTGGCCTCTGTTTGTCAGAGGCTGGAGATGGATGGCATGAGACAAATCGCTTGATCATTGTCTTCGGTCCACCCCCTCTGGGGCACCTGGCCACTGTCGGCAGACAGGATACTGGGCTTGCTGGACCTTTGATCTGACCCAGTATGGCCATTCTTGTTTTTATGTTCTTCCACCGCCTCCCCACAACACTCCCCGCACCATTCCCTGCTGACCCCTGCATGCAGTGTGTATCCTGACAGATCTGTCACAGCACCCCGCCAGAGTACCTCCCGATACTCCGGCATATCCGATAATCCGGCACCTCCTGGTCCCAAGGGTGCCGGATTATCGGAAGTCTACTGTACGTTGAAAAAATCAGTGTCCTATTTAAGACTTGAGAAAATAGTTTTCATTCCTGGGTACGAAACATTGCTCTTTGTGAATAGTGAATGGCTGATAAGAGTGCTACCTGTGAACAATGAGGTATGCTTATTTTCTTACCTCACAGATATAAATTGCATACTCTATTGAACTCTGTGTCAGTTATTTCTTATTTGAAGTTAAAAAGTACAAAATATGTTAATAACTTGACTTGTTTTCAACAGGAAAAACTTAATATTTATTTGTTCTATCATCTTTCATTCTTTACCTACAACTATTTACAGAAGTTTGACCTGAAGAATATCTCGAGGCAACAGGTGACGTGGAAATTAGATCTTGATGGTGGAGGCAAAGCAATAGAAGATGGGATTTTTAAATTCAGTCTGTGTGCTGGAGTTCTTGATGCAGGAGAAAAAACTAGTATCACTGTAGGCTTTTGCCCATGTAAGTATTATTCTGATTTTTGTCAACTTTTATATGTGTTTGCTAAAATGAATATTGTTTGTTCAAGACTCCATTTTCAGAGATGTATTTAAATCTCATTTCACTGTGAATCAGCACTTTTTTTCTAAAATATGTTTGAAGAGCTTTAAACGGACCTTTCTTGAATTCCAAAGTTACATAGTTTGAAACCAGGAAAATAAATGTAACATTTCCTATCCATACTACCTAGTGCTACAGGTTCTGGGGATTGTGCCAATGGAAAAAAAAAATCAAAACCCTGTTGAAGTTCAGAGAACTAAGAGTTGTAGTCTGGATAGCTGAGGAAAAGGGAATTGCTTGAAGTATTTCTGCTGTATGTATAAAATAGGATACCTAACACCTTTTTCTTTGGGAAAGCATAACTGGTTAAGAAAAGATTTAAATAAACGAATTCCTTTGTGAATTTGAGGGACTCTGGTTTAAGGCCTTCTCATTCTAGGACATTCTGTAGGTCTGAAATAATATGTAATCATCTGTGGAGAAATTTTCTTTTTAATGATTCAAGTAGAGCAAAATATTAAGTGGTTCCTTTCCATTAATGCATGAAACATTTCTAGGAAACTACCCTGGAAAGCATATATTTCTCAGAGACGCCTAAGAGGGGATTCCATAGGGGATTCAGTATCCTTAATCTTCAGACATTAGAAATTCACATTATCTACATATATTTGGGCTTTGTGAAATAAGTTTTTGGTCTCTGCTTACTTATCTATGAACAGATGTCCATATCACAATAATCTCTGCTATTGGCACAAACTGGGAAACATTGTTGGTAGTATGGATTAGAAAGACCAACATCTAAATGGACACAGAATCTATTCATTCAGGAGTAGAGGCAATCCCTCTAAGTTGTGAATGATGTTTATTACGTGGGTATGGAGGAAGCTTGAACAGTTGCTTCCTGTACTGCGTTTGTTCAGTAGATTAAGTAGTTCCTGTTCTCTTCTGTGTTGTCAGTCCAGCACCTTTAATGAGCACTTACTTTAAGTGAAGTAAAAAATAAAAACTATATCGACAAAGTAGAATTTGGTGTATTTTTTCTAATTAGCTAAAATATAGAAATAAAATGCAGTTTATCTCTTCAGAAGACCCAAGATTGGAACAATAATATATTTTTTGAACAGCCTTAATTGATTTAGACAAGTAGATTTTATGTATAAACGGGAAATCCTCTCGCTACCAAAATTCAGGAAGAAACTTTGAAGATTATAGTCACTTAGGCTATGTCCAGACTGTAGGCTTCTTTCGGAAGAGAGATCTTCTGAAAAAACTTTTCCAAAAGAGAGCGTCTATACCATAAAAGTGCATTGAAATAGCGATCTGCTTTTTTGAGAGAGCGTCCCTTCAGTGTGGACGCTATCTCGCATTTAAACTGTGATTACTATGGATGGAGTGGCCACTAGGGCACCTGTGCTTTTTCCTGGAGGCTTCTTCTTTCAAAAGAACTCCCTCTTCCCCATCCACACATGCCTTTTTCCAAAAGAGCTCTTTCAGAAAAAGGCTTCTTCTTCATAGAAAGAGGTTTACCAGTGTTGGAAAGAACTCTCTGTTCTTTCAATTTTCAGTGTGGACGTAAGTGAAGTTTTTTTCAGAAAAACAGCTGTTTTTCTGAAAAAACTCTGCAGTGTAGACATACCCCATGAAACCTTACATTAGGAAGTAATTACAATGACAGAAATTACAACTAAATTCAATGTCTCTGGGGATCATACCGAATTTATGTATCACGGTGGGTCAAGGATTGATTGCAGCTTCAGTGGGGGGGTGATTATCATGGCAGCTCCAGGAATCACAAACAGTGGGAGGTGATTAGAGAGAATCACCCTATGTTGTAAACACTTCCAGACAGTTATATCTCCCTGGAGAGGCTTGTATATATTGACCACAAAGTCTGGGTTTTCTAAAGACCAACAGACAAGGGAAGACCTTTTTTATATAAAACTTTATAGGAACTTTTATTGTATTTATTCTGTTACGCTTTTACCTTACAAATAAAGGTGCTTGCTTAAAAAGAGCTGTATAGTTGCTTGCATTTGCGGCAAAACACTGTTCTTAGCTTTCTTAGAGAAAGCAAAACCACAGGCACTGGCTTCTAGGCAATTGGCTTGCTGAGAGTATTGTAATATATGCTAAGGCAGCCTTAAAACACTTGTTAGGAGAGAGCAAGATGTGGGTTTCTACTAAGAGCGATGGCACCCAGGAGTCAGACGCCTTAAATAGGTGCCCACCTAGGGACCACACGGGAAGAAGACTGCTGCACTCACCTTGGAACTGTGACAGTTATACTGCTGGAAAAATATCCTGGAAGGGGAGCCTGTAACCTGTGCCCTGCCTCATAGGGCTGAAGCCAAAGCGTGAGCCCTGCTGCTCAGGACTGAAGCTGAAGCCCAAGCTCCACCACCTGGGGCTGAAGCTCTCAGAGATTTGTTGAAGGGAATTAGGTGGGCTGAGGCTTGAGCCCTGCTTCCCTGGGTGAGACTGCCAAAGCTGAAGCCCAAGGGCTTTGGCCCTGGTGGTGGGGTGTGGGCTTTAGCCTTGGGCTGCCTGCAAGTCTAATGCCAGCTCTGGTTACCCCATTTTTCTGGGATTTTCAAATGGGCACAGGGGAATTAATTTCAATGGTATTTGTCGTCCCAGCTCTCTTGTGCCCCTTTGAAAACCCCAGCCTATGATTATCTGTTGCAGTTAAGATAGTGTTTTATATATATTATCAGTGGGCACTATATGTGCATTGCTATAGTTAAAGCTCACTTCTTGTTAGAGTGAATTTGCAACTGAATTTATTTTTTGAATTTAAGTTACATGAGAATCAATGCCATTGAAAAGTCACACGCATATCATTTTCAAATTTATGGGGCAATTAACACAAAGTGCTTCATGGAAATTAATTTTCCAGATTTGTTCACTTTTCAAAAAATGTTCTCGTACTTTTTTAACCTCTCCTGAAAAATTAATTTAAAAGTTACTTGCTTAAAGTGTTAACGGGGTTGTGAGTAGGATTGGAGAAGATACTTCAACGGTAATAGAAATGTAGCCGTGTTAGTCTAGTGTAGCTGAAGCAAAATACAGGACTATGTAGCACTTTAAAGACTAACAAGATGGTTTATTAGATGATGAGCTTTCGTGAGTCAGACCCACTTCCTCAGATCAAATAGTGGAAGAAAATAGTCACAACCATATATACCAAAGGATACAATTAAAAAAAATGAACACATATGAAAAGGACAAATCAAATTTCAGAACAGAAAGGGAAGGGCGGGGGGAGGTGAATGTCTGTGGGCTAATGATATTAGAGGTGATAATTGGGGAAGCTATCTTTGTAATGGGTAAGATAACTAGATCCTTTGTTTAGACTCAGATGTAGTGTCGAATTTTAGCATGAATGACAGTTCAGAGGATTCCCTTTCAAGTGCAGATTTAAAAGGTCTTTGTAGCAGGAAGCAGATAGTTAAGTCGAGACAGTGTCCTTTCTGGTTGAAATGGCAAGAAACTGTTTTTAGTTTGTGATCCTGTCTGATATCTGTTTTGTGGGCATTGATCCTTTGGCGAAGTGTCTGAGACGTTTGTCCAATGTACATAGCAGATGGACACTTTCGGCACATGATAGCATAGATTATATTTCTGTATGCGCAGGAATATGTGTTCTTGATCTTATAACTCACTTGGTTAGGTCCAATAATGGTATCAGCAGAGTGAATATGTGGACAAAGCTGGCAACGGGGTTTGTTGCAAGGGAAGGTACCAGGGTACTTCAACGGGTAAGCCTAATAATACAAAGCATCTAAGTATATGTATAACACAGATGTATATTTAAAAATAACACCTATTATAGTAAATATGTTTTGTTAAGTGTATATTCTATGCACTCAGGTTCATAATTCATGTGTATTTTATGTAAAAACACTAGTTTGCATGCTTTGTAAAGAATGTATGGTCCCAAAAGTGGTGGCTGGGATATAATAGCGAGAAACCACATCAGTTTGATCTCAGAAATGTAGATGAAGGAAAGCCACTTGGGGCTTATTTTTTTCCCATCCTTGTGTTGAGTATATGTGAACTATTTAAGGAATAAGGCTCTGGTTTAGGTAAACATCCCTCTTTAGGAAAGTAAGGAGATATTTGAAATCTTTTTGCCAGTATTCAGCTAAGTTCTCTCAGACAACCTTAATGACTACATGATGCCTGTCTGGAGAACCATCAAAAACCCAGGGACATGCTTAAGAGGGAACTTTATAAATTGAGGTTTCCTGAAACTGATGGCTGAAATAAGTGCATGGCTACATCGTAACAAAAGGATTTATTGTTTTGTTTGCAGTGGTAGAATGCAGTTGGAGTATTTATCTTAGTTTGTTTCCTGTTTTTCATTCTGTAGGATCAGAAAGGAAACTAATTTTAAAATGTCACTGTTTGTGGTGCTGCATTTTGGGTCTTATCTTACCAGAATTAAAAAGAGGAGGAATTACTTAATTCCATGGATTCCATCATCTCTGGGGAAAACTAGGTGGACAAATTTGCAAACACTTAAGAAAACATCACCAAGGAAGATTCCCGAATCTGCTAACAACTTTTTCGTTACCATATAGCAAAGATGGTGGAGTATAGATAGTAGCATAGCACAGGCTTTGCCTGTGGTCAAATAAGCATTTCCCATAGTATGGTAGACATGTATTGAATATTTTATCTGGAACCAGACTTGCATACTGGTTTAATATGATTATCTTAATCCTCTTGTTACTCAGTTAGTGCTGTTCTGTAGTAGTAGCATTTTTTGACCTTTATAAGAAAGAAGCAGAATCTGGACAAGATTGTGTGAAGAGGAGGACAAGTGGAGTGGGAGTTACCAGTTTTCTCTGATTTTGAGAAAAAGTCATATTTAAAGAATACATAATGCCTGTAAACTCTGACACATGCATCTGAATGATTGAAGTGAAAATGTTGGACAAGTGGAGTAGTAGAAATGA